CTCTCTCTCTCTCTCTCTCTCTCTCTCTCTCTCTCTCTCAAGTAGTGTAGAGATAATAAAAGATCAGTAATGAGCCAGTCAGTCATGAGAGTCGCAGAAGGCAGAAAACGTCCCCAGTGAGAAATGCACCACCGAAACTGCGTCAACTCGACGTGTATGTTGTCGATTTAGATCGTCGAAATCTTGTAATTTGGCGCCTTAATCGTTGTTGTACCTGCACCGACCAATAGTATTTTGGTGACACCTAAAATCGACATTTTGTCGCCTATCGACTTAGGCAGCCTACAATTAATTCGTTGGATTCAATCGCATTGCCCGGGTGGACCCAACCCCTCATTTCAAAACTCCGGGAGTGCAAGTCTATGCGGCCTGACTGAGCTGCTGGACTGGCTCGCCCCCGCCTCCCGACCGGCCACCCTGCCGCTAATCTGCAAAAGTTTCCGGCGGAGCGCAGTGCCAAGTACCGGCGGTCCCAGAACCTCCCGACCGTAACTCGGCTGGGCTCGGCTCGGCACATGCCGGAAATGCGCCGCCATACCCCCAACACGCTGCACGTCGTCAGCCGCCACCCCCGCCTCAGAGATATGGGCACGCGAAATAAAATGACAACCAGTAAAGAGCAAACCCAATCGCGCCTCATTCACATTCGGGTTTGACAAATCCTGCCGGCGGCTGCTGGAGACACGACGTTTCCGGCGTCCCGGGATACATTTACTGAGTCGGGTGGTTTGTTTGACTCAAGGCCGAATGCATGAGCATGGCGGGGCGGGGCGGCCCAGGAGCTAGCGCCCGCGGGTGGCGCGGCCCTATCTCCCATCACAGGGAGACAAACGGGCGCGTCGGCTGGGTTAGGCACCCCGCCGGGAGCAGCGGGCTGAGGGACGCTGAGGGACTCCCGCGGCACGCACGACGAAGCGGCCGGGCGTCGGGAAAACAAAACCGAGCGACACCGAGTCCAATAACCATCGCCATGGCCCCATGGAGTTAAGCTAGACTTAGGGAGACGCAAGGTTTGGCGCACCGATCCCTATTAAAACACTTTCCGGTACTAATATCACACGCTATCGCATATATTTTGGTGTCGTTTTGATCCTGAGATTGCAAAATTAAAGATAGTGGATCGTTTTTTTATGTCCACCCAAATTAAATGTACTGAATTCACATTTAAACCGATGAGTCAAGGATATGCCGAAACGTGGGAGTGAGACAGCAATAGAACATGGCCGCCCCGTGACGTCAGCGTCGGGAGAGGGGGTAGCTCGGCGGTTCGGCTCAGCACCTATGCTGTTGTTTTTTCACGTAATTGTACTTAAAAAGTGAGTTACTTTAAATTTGGGCTCCACTATTTTCGTAATTGAAGTACGCTGATGATATTTCTGTGTTAATAATTTCTGTAGATCTCAAGTTGCAAGTGTGAAGTGTTAAAATCGCCGACCTGTCGGTAGCCTACGGTTTGGCCAGAGCTGTACTTCGTCATAATTTATCTATCCTTTTGGACGTATAAGGTAAGTTATGGTGAATGTGAGTGCACTAAATTTACTAATGGACCGTACTGATTGAATATCTGCATTCACCTTCTCTCGTCATACACGATTTCATTGTGAGAAATGTTGAAATTCGCGACCGGTCGGCGACATGAACTGTTGTCCAATGTTATTGTTTTCAAGTTTTTTATTAGTTTTTCGGCATAAAGTCTTCGCGGGCTCTCTTAGTATTCTCTACTATTATTTTATTATTACCTGTCATCATTCGTTGTCGTGTATTGTCCGTCGTTGTAGTCTAAATAATCACCCTAACCTAGTCATAGCACTAATATTTTCAATGTTGTGAATTATTATTATTTGTTTGTTACAGGATTCTGTGCTCGTGATGGATTCACTATGGAAAAAGAAAAGGTTGATGTAGCAAAAAAGAAACCCATTTGTCACAGGCCTGTGCGTAAACGCCTCACTACCAAAAACTACTACAAGTCAAAGAAAAGAGTATGTGTTTGATGTTGATGTTTGGCAGATTTCCTAAAGCCTTATTGTACTGTTACTAACTTATTCATATTTTTCATCTGGCAGGCTTCTCTTCAACAAGAACCTAATGTAGATGGTGATAGAGATTCACCTGCCGACCCTCCTGCTAATCCACCTGTTAATCCAACTGCTAATCCACCTGCTAATCCACCTGCTGAACCACCTGCTGGCCCTCCTGCTGATCCAACTGAGCAGGTTCCCGAGGAGTCAGTTCTGCAGTGTGTCAGTCCGTCCTCACCCTCAAATTGAGCACAGCTACTGTGTAAGTGTGTTGCCTGTATTATGCAAGTATTCTGATGTGTTGGTGTTTATTGCAATGCCTTTGTCTCATATTTTACAGGGGAATAATTCCAGCAGCAATAATATACCTGAGTCAGCATGGGTCACAGTTGCTGTTCTTACCCTTGGAGGAGCTGAAGAGCCTGCCCCAGAGGCATCTGGCATTTCAACTGTTCAACTTATTGATCAACAGACAGAACATAAAAATGCAGAGCCCACAGTATGTTGTAATTATTATTAACTTCTACTTCATTCTGTTGTACCTTTTCTTTCTAATAAATAGCTTTTTATGTACTTTGCAGGAATTTTCCATTCTACAGTCAGTCCAGAGTGCCCTCCCACCACACTGGTGTGTGGTGGAAATCGATCATGGACTGCATATCATGCTCCAGTCAAAAGATTCTGCCCGGGTAGTACAGAGGTCAATATTTGCCTACTACCCTTCCGGTACTGTGAAAGTTTTTGCTCATGGTCATGAATTGCCCACACGGAGCCAAACCATCACCTCAGCATCAGTGTCCAAAAGTGCCTTTGTCCAGGAAGTCATTGCAGTGGTGAAGGAAATCCGTCTGTTGGAGGTCTGTGTGGGGGCTAATGACCTGCACTTTGAAAAGTGGTGGAAAACATGTCTTGAGACATGTGCCATTGATAACAACAGTTTTCATGAAGAGCGCTACAGGAAAACTTTGCGCAGCAATGACTGCCAGTACTTGGTTAATCAGCCAAAAAAATTTTGCAGTGCATGTCAGAAAGTAGTGTCAAGATTTAAGAAGAGGAAAGCACCAGCCACACCTTCTTCTCGCAAGAAGACTCCAAACAAGTTCATAGCATACAAGCATCTCAACTCTGCTGAGAAAGAAGCTCGACAGAAGAGAAAAAGCAAGGACGTGAAGAATCTGAAGAGGAAATTCAATAGACTGAAGATTGATGGCATTATCAGGGAGCAGGGCGTTGCTGTAAAATCTGGGATGGACAACACACTGGGCAAAACTCTGGAGGCGGGTCTTCGAGAACTGCAGAGTAAGGATTCTCAAGACCCAAAGGACAGGTTTCTTCAGGTGTTTATAGAACAACAATTGGCAGCCCGGAATGCCAAAGGCAACCATGGCATCACGTGGCACCCACTCATGATAAGATTTGCCTTACAATTAAAGTTCTGTGCCCAGTCTTCAGTCAATGCAAGTCGCAATTTCATCCGGCTGCCTTCAGATCGCCTACTTTGGGACTACACACATATATATGATGTAAAACCAGGTGTTCAGGAAGAATTCATAAATGAGATTGCAGAGAAAGTGCATGCTATGAAGTACAAGTATCAGAATTATCATGTATTGGCGTTTGATGAAGTCACCTGTAAAGAGGGTCTTGTACAACGAAAAGGCACAGGTGAAATCATTGGATATGCAAAGCTAAATGAAGTGCAGACTGAGTTGGCTGATCTTAGGAAGAAACTCGAGGCAGAAGCAGAAAATATTCCCCTGATCACTACATCACCACCACCTATTGCACGGAAAATGCTATCTTTCATGTTGAGGGGCACCAGCAGCAACATTCAAACCTGTGTGGCTTCGTACCCAGTCAATTCATTATCAAAGGAGGACTTGTACCAGTACGTGTGGGAAGTCACTGGGAGCCTTGAATTTGCTGGTGTGAGAGTTGTTGCATTTGTTGCAGATGGAAGTGCAGTTAACCGCAGCTTCTTCCAGATGCACCCATCTGAAGAAAAGTCATATAGTGGACTTGTCTACAAAACTCCAAATCCATATGACCCCAACAGAAATATTTTCTTCATTCCTGACCCCCCTCATGCTCTAAAAACAACAAGAAATTGTCTGGAAAATTCTGGAAGAAAGAAGAGCAGGAGAATGCAGAAAAATGGTGAAGTACTAACCTGGAAGCCAATAATTAGGCTTTTTAAATGGAAATCTGAGCAGACTATCAAGAAACTGCCCAAATTGACAGCAGCCTCTGTATATTTGAATTCATACTCCAGGATGAGTGTACCTTATGCATGTAAGGTTTTAAGTCATTCTGTCTCTAGCCAGCTGGCTGAATTGGGCTGGCCAGAAACTAGAGAACTTTGTATTTTTAAGGTTGTTCAATGAACTTTTTGACCTCGGAAATGGCGCCTTCAAGAAACAGTGGGTATTAAGCCAAAAGCCTAGATTTAAGCCCTACTCGAGTCTTGATGATCCAAGATTTGCTGAATACGAAGAGAAATGGAAGTACTTGGAAGATTGGAAGAAGGAAGTGGAGTCAATGCCAGGCCAAATGAAAGATAAGAAACACCTGCTGCTTTCAGATCAAACTCTAAATGCTTGGGAGATGATCTGTAAGTCTATCCCTGAGTGTATACAGTTCTTGTTGAGAGAAGGAACAAAGTATGTTATGGCAAGAGTGTTCTGCCAGGACATG